TGATAGTATTAATAGTGGCCTCAATATCTGTCTCTTATACACATCTAGATGTGTATAAGAGACATCTTAAATAGTTTAAAATAGGGTATTTTAGGTCAAAATTTCAAAGTGCTGTAAAAAAAATTGCCCAAGCCCTAGGCATGGGGATTTTTTTTCTGAGACACTATAGGGTATGCTGATTCAGAAAAACAAAAATTAATTTTCTTTTACTTTTTTCCCGCTAAAGTTCATTTCAGAAGTTTTACAACCAGACTATAAATACGCACACGTATACTGATCATATTACTATAGCAACCGATGACTGCTACAACAGTTGGTTATAAAAAACTAAAATTAAAAGACGGCGATTGACTTATAAAGCAATTAGTAGAGCTCCGCATAGTACACTATAGGAAAATTATTAAACTTAGGTTAGATTTAATGCATTCCAAATTGTTTTCAAGCTAATTGCTTAATATATTATTTTGATCGTAGTGTATCGTGTATCGTGTATATGCATGGTACCTACATGCGTGGATGAATGTTATGGAATACGCCAAAATCTCTTAAATAGGCTTTGGTGGTAATCAAGAAAATAATGGACTATAATTGATGTAATAATATACCCATGACAGACACAGTTTAGGTAGTCGCTACAGCATGGTCTTTGAAAGTATACAAAAAGCACAGTAATATTGAATCTGGCTATTCGAGTAGGGCTACAGCATAAATAGTATTATATACAGGTGTAGGCTTTAGATATTAACATGTGTTTAAATTGTATGCCCCACTTTAAGTAGATTGATTCTGAAGGGTATAAACGTTTTGAAATGCTCGAAGACAAATTACGAATACTTCGGACACAGTTGTTAACTTACAGTTTCACAATTAAAAATTCTTATGAGAAAAAAATGCCTCTCAATTAACAGACAGTGAGCGTATTTGCTGTATTCACTGTTATTTTGAAGGAGTTATTTTAACTCGAAAGGAGTTATTCTGTACCTTTTTTTAGGTACAGAATAACTCCTTTGAAGTTAAAATAACTCCTTCAAAATAACAGTGTTCTTTGCATGATTCATTTTGTGGAATCCTCTAGAGATCAGTGAAAGCTATTTTTACTTCTCCATCTGATTTTGATCGTTTTAATTGGGTAGACAACATTATAGGCCTAAGTGATATATCAAATCATCGGATTTGGCAACATTTTTATAATATATCTGCTTGCTATATAATTCTATTAATATTAGTTTTATTCATAGGCCTATTTAATATGAAGGTAATGTTTGTGAGAAATCAACATTAAAATAACACATTAAAGTGTCCGAGCATTTCTAAACGTTTTCATTCAGAATCAGTTGCTAGCAGTTAGCATGTACTGGTATGCTATACTTTACACTATTCAAATAACCGACTAGATTCAAAGCTGCTTTTTAAGCTTCCAAAGACCATGCTCTGCAAACAATGTCTAGGCATGGGGATATTAAAATTACAATACTAGTCCATTCATTTTCACTGTGTCGACTCACTATCAAGAGATTTTGGCCTACTCGCGCCGTAGATTTCATATCCAAAAGCAGCGAAAACCCACTGCAGTCGCGACTCGTGAGGGAAAGTCAGAATGCATACCGTACTCGCGCGAATAACCGCCCCTCCTAACGTGAAAAGTTCCTTAAGCGCCCGTCAATAATATCGTAAGATTTTCTTTTTAAAAGTCAATAATCCAATCAATCCTGGGACTGTGGTTGTTGGCATGATTTGAGCTGCAGAGTGGAAACACATTCTTCTTAGGTCAATATCAAAATGAGGGACGTATCCAGGGGGGAGCCGTGGGAGCCGCGGCTCCCCCCCCCCCCTTTGTACACAGTGTTAAAACTTTAAAGCTTTCCTGAGCCAATACAAATTCTTTCCTGGGATCACTCAAAGTGAATACTTCTAAACATGTCAATATGCATCAGTACACGTTATACATAGGCCTAATAGAACACATAGGCCTAAGCGTGATCTAAAAAAATAATAAATCCATAAACCTCAGAGCAGGTCTTTTAAGATAGAAATGCGATACTGTGGTTCAATTTCGTTTTTATCCTTTTGCAAGTTTCTTTATATGTTTGTTTAATACTACTACTACTACTACTACTACTACTAATAATAATAATAATAATAATAATAATAATAATAACAATGATGATGATGCCGATAGTAATAATTGATAATTAATATCAACAAAAAGTGAAGAAAATTGTGCTAAATGCGAAAAAAAGTTGTGATTCGTTGCTCATAATATAGTATATATAGTTAAAGCTTAGTAAGCTATAATTAGGCCTAAATTGTCCTGGATATTATGTAGATCCCTGATAAAAGATCATGAGAAATTTTTTGGCGTTTCATTTTGACTATAATGGTAATGTGATGATGATGAATTTTACTATATAAAAGTGTCATTTTCGGCCATCTCGAGAGGTACTATTTCCTCAAATTTTCTCACCTCAGCCCCAGCCATGGTGGGGCTGAAGTGGTTGTGAAATCACGTTTTTGAAGTAGGCCTATGTAAAGTACATATTCAAAGACAATGTTTTAAGCTTTGTTTTATATGGTATATCACACACACAATAATAAAATCTCTATGGTTGTCAAAAATCCCTGATAAAAGATCATGAGAATTTTTTGTTGGCGCTTCATTTTGACTAATGGTGATGTGATGATGATGAATTTTACTAAAAGTGTCATTTCTGGCCATCTAGAGGTACTATTTCCTCAAATTTTCTCACCTCAGCTCCAACCATTGTGGGGCTGAGGTAGGTGTCGACTCACAAAATACCCTCCCCCTCCAGCTTTCAAAACAGATCTGTGCCCTTCCCTGAGTATGACATTAAACTCCATCGAGTCGGCTCCTGATGTATGTCTTAGTGACTGCTGTTTGTTTTTAGGATGTGATCTGGTTTTTCATGTCCATTTTTCGTGATTATGACTATTCAAGGCGCCCCCCCCCCCCTTCAAATTATAAGAAAGTGGGAAAAAAGAAAAATATATTCAAATTGAAGTGCGAGAGTGTAATTCCGGTCATCTAGAGATGCCCTAATCATAAATTTTCTTACCTCAGCCCCAACCATGATAGGGCTGAGGTGGGTGTCGACTCACAAAATGCCCTCCCCCTCCACC